GCTTTACCTTTAACGTCAGTTAGGTGACGGGTTAGGTTTAGGTCTGGGGTAGAGTTAGGATCCCATAACCTCATCTACCGACGGCCCTAAAAAGGCGAATATTGACGTATGGTCAAAAGACGTCCCAAAACGTCAGTTATATGACGTCTTGGGGTGAGACCGGGTTGTTCACTCAAAGCAGATAATAGAAATAAAATGGTTTAAATGGCTAGTAAATGTAACGTGTGTTCTGTTTTGGGTTACTTTTCACTGTTTCCTAGTTTGCCTCTGTGCATTGTTCACTTTGTTGATTGTTTCATGGTTGTTAATTAGTTTTACACACCTGTTTCTCTTCAGCTAATTATCTGACTATTTTTTCTTGCATTAACATTGCATGTTTGGTCAGTGGTTATCATTCATGTGACTGTATTCATTAAAGAATATATATTAAACAATACACAATCAGATTTGTTAATCTCTGCCTGGACTTTGCCTCTGGAAATGGAACGGAAAAAACACCATTTGAATTCTGAGAAACACTTGTGAAAGATTTGCTATTTCCTAATTGTGGTCCCTGAGAATGTTTAGATTTGGAAATGCGGCTTTGTGCTAAATGATGTACCAAGTCAGCAATCTCACAGTCACAGAAAGAGAGAAAAAAGAGAGCAATAACTTTCCCATAAACTTGAAGGCAGCTGTCTCACCAACACAGCTCACTAACAGGCCTGCTAGACTTCCCTGAAAAATTTAGATGACTCTACTGAAAAAGAAATGAAGTTGGTGATGGTAGGGAGACATGTATGAAAAATCATAAAGGCAAAGCCATGTACACGGCTATATCTGTCTCTCTTTACATAACATTTGACACAGAATGCATCTCACATTATGGTTCTGACCTTAATCTGCGATTTGTGACACTTCAGGACTGACTTAATTGGTTGAGTATTTCTATATATTACAGTGTTTCTCAATCACTTTAGCACAGTTCTCGAATTAGATAAGTTCAAAACAATAAGTTCAGATCTCTGAACAGTTTCCTGTTCACAAAATATTTAAATTTCTTGTTGATTTTAACAAATTGCATGTTGTGCAAAAGAGTAAGCACAATTAATTTTCTAAAAGAACAATATATATAAAAAAGTCTTGCAAAGTATAGAAAGCATACAGTGTCAACAAAAATGTTGAACAAAGATGAAATTCGTATACAGTATAACAAATATTTCCATAGTGGGAAAACAATTTGACCAGTAGCTGACACACTGACAAAAACATATTTTTTTGTTTTTCATTGGCCAATTTACTGATACAGTACTTGGGGTTTTGCAGCATGCAATAAATGTTTTGGGAGAGTTACAACATTTTGCAGATGCAATAGTTCTGATGTTCCAGCAAACAGTTGTGACAATTGAGTAGTTTAGAGAATGACTGACTGACTCCAAAAAATGTGTCAAAGGTTTTGAGGAAAACTGTCATATATGGATTTTATATATATATATATATATATATATATATATATATGAAGAGTTCAGATGCAAAAGCCTCTAACTGCCATTTGAAATTTTCTTCTTTAATGATGATTTTTATCAAACTTGTATATTTAAGTTCAGTAATTTCACTTAAATGGCAATGATAATTACCTATTAATTGTTATTTAAGTGAAATTACTGAACTTAAATATACAAGTTTGATAAAAATCATCATTAAAGATGAAAATTTCAAATGGCATTTAGAGGCTTTTGCATCTGAACTCTTCATATATATATATATATATATATATATATATATTATATATATATACAGTCATACTGACAGATAACTACGTATGTAGGTAGATAGATAGAATAATTAAATCACATTCATCTTGAGAAGGATTAGTTATTATCAACGCTTGCTTTCAATATCATGTTGACGACACCCATGTACTTTGGGAAATCATATCTCATTAAGCGAGGCTGTGAATTGGAGTTTGTAGGCAATTTATGTGAGGGCGCCGGGACACCTTGGCGTCTTATTAATATTCTGTTTAAGGCATCTGTCTGCACAGATTTTCAGCAGAAAAGGGGTTATAGTTTAGTACATTTAATTCACATAGAGGCAATGCTTGCTTCTTCTAAGTGTTCAATTAAATTATATTTTTCTGAATACTTATTCTCTCTCTCTCTCTCTCTCTCTCATGTATTAAACTTGATCCATTTTTTGAATCAGTTCATTTAAATTAATTCAGAAGTGCAAATAGCCTACATGGATAAAAAAAAAACGGTACCGCTTCCTTTTACAGTACAGTACTTACAGTGTACTTGCAGTGTACTTACCTAGGGAGCACTGGCTAATATAAGGTAAGTACATGGAATAGGGGTAGGTTTAGGGGTAGGTTCAGGATTAGTACTAGTTATTACCCAGTAATTATAGTTACTAAAATAAGTACATAGTATTTACATGGGTAACTGGACTGTAAAAGGAAGCGTTACCAAAAAAACAGTAAGTATTTTCTTGAAAACATCTATTTTTTGTTAAAAATTGAAAAATTCAAACATTTCGGAAGCTACTCTTGTTTGCTCCAGAAAAACATCTGAGTTTCTGTGAATGTTCTTGATTCAGATCCATTGCATCAGCCTTTGTTTCCCCCTCTAATATTTTTGTAATACCATGTTTCACAAATCGGCTTCGCACTGTCAAGTTGTCGCTGACTTGAATCCCAACAATCCCTGCCTTTCATGTGTTACTCCTGTGAGGAACCGTTCTGAATAGGATGGCGACAAAGCTTTCTTTTTTTTTTCCATGGGAATGCTTCCCATTGATGTAAATATCCCATCCCCAAAGGCCTGGAACTAATCACACTAACGAGTTCACTAAGGCCACCTTCTGCCAGTGATTTGAATCACAAACACCCACCGAAAAAAAAAAGGAATTTTTTTTTTTTTTTGAAAAATTCAAAAATAAAATCGCCAACCCTCTCTGTAAAGGCTAATGAGTAATAAAGTGATAAAACACTTAATCATGTCTTTCTATGCAATGTGGGTTTGTAAATGTCTGAGCGCATATACGCTCATAGTGCCTGACCTTGGACACTCAGTAGCCCAAAAGCAAAGTACACTGGCCAAACTAAGAGTGTTGGGATTTGAAATTCCACACGCACGCTGGCCTATGTGTGCGGAGGCGGCGCAATGTGGAGGAATTTGAATGTAAATGCCTCCAGAGAGAGGAGCCCCCACGTTGGCATTCAGTTGCTGTCAGGCACAGAGTCTGTGCCAGGCAATCTTCTGAGAGGACTTGACAATGAGCGCTGTGAGAGAGATGAGGGAACCTAGAGTGTCTGCAGGGTTCCAAAGCTGACACTCATGGTGCATTGTGGGTAGAAGGGCAGACAGGAGAGAACTGAGTACTTAAAGGTGGAGGACAGTCCTGAGGAGCTAGCCTATAGAGGGCGTTTGTGTTTGAACCACTGCTAAAGCTGAACCATTACTAATAGTAAATGTATGACTAGAAAGGGCAGAAATAATGGAATATATCAAATGTTAGCTAACATTCCGTCACAAACACGCACATGTGTTCAGGGTTATGAAGAGTCTGATTTGGAATTTGATTCAGCACTACAATTAACCCTTTCATTTGGTTTAGATCAACTTTATTTTTTTATGTTCTGTCGTTAATAATAATACAATTATTTTTATTATCAATAATATAGTTTTTTTATATAATAATAATAATAATAATAATAAAGTTCTCAAGTTCTGTTTAAATCAACTTTATTTTCATATATAATTTATTATTATATCAATGATAATGTTCATTTTGGTTATGGTGTTGTTGTTGCTTGTTGTTGTTATATTTATTGATAGTAGGAGTAATAATAAACCTATTGTTATTATTATTATGCAATTACTATAAAATTGATGCTTAATTCTGAAATAATATTGCTTACTATATCTTTTAAATTGTATTTAAATGATTATTAAAAAATGTACACAAGAGTTCAAATTCAGTACACTCCTATTAACCCTTTCATTTGGTTTAGATCAACTTAATTTTTTTATGTTCTCTGTTATTAATAATAACATTAATGTTATTTTAAATAATAAAGTTTCTTACGGTATATGAACAAAAATAAATATTTTTTTTTATTTCCATTATCATCAAGTTCTCTTTAAATCAACTTAATGTTCAGATAATCTATTATTATTGCTCATAATAATCATTTCTGTTGCTCAGTAAAAGCTTTTACATTCTTGAAAAAAAATGAAATATAAAAATATATTTCCCATGTAATACTATTACTTATTATATTAATAAATGGTTAAAAATATTGTAATCTAAAACAAATAAACAGCATTTAAATGAATGTTTGACCTTGAAATTCTGTAAGAGCTTCCCTAAATCTGAGACTTTTGAGAACATTTCTGAATGCAAGCGAGCTTCTCAGTCCATCGTCTCAATGACTACATAACACACCGGACTGTGACGTCAGAGGTGATGCACAAGGTCTTACAAAGAGAGATTGCAAATGATCCAGCTAAACTTACCTCTGCAGTACTGCTCAAAGGAGCATATACACTTCATCACGCACAACTTATCATGTGTAGGTAAATCTTAGGAAAATGTCACTTCATCCCTCACCGTATAGCAAATATGTAACGTGACAGTGCAGCAAAAGTTATTGCGTAAAGTCTGGCTATATAAACAGCCTCATCTTACATTTCACAGTGGAAAATCATGAAACACAATGCATGGCTCTCTCATACACACACGTCTAACAGCACTGACCGATCGAGTTGTAGCCTATACACTGACTGGGTGTTTTTCTACACCCACAAAAAACTGATCCATGAATGATCCGTCTCGTGATATTTAGCTACGTCTATGCATGCTTCCGTTTGTAACCTGCAGTTTAAATGTATAGCAATATTATGTTGCATAATGCACGTTCTGCAAGATTGACTAATTGGCTTTAAATGTGGACTGTGAAAATCATAATAGTCTTGATCTACTTAGTAGCCTATAGTTAGAAAAGAACTAAGACTAACCTGGAGGAAATTGGATGGTGCTCCTGTACTTGGGACTGGATTTCTTCTGCTCCTCTCCTCACGCGCTGCCAGCAGTCATTTCAAGCGTTGCTTTCGTCAGTGAAGGATATGCGTGTGTAATCGCGGCGGCCACTGTACCACAGCCTAATGGTGTGTGTGTGTGTGTGTGTGTGTGTGTGTGTGTGTGTGTGTGTGTGTGTGTGTGTGTGTGTGTGTGTGTCCCAGTCAAAGAAATATCCCGCAGCCGAAGACCGCGTTGTTTGTGAAGCGCGTGCTGAGGGCGCGGAAGCTGGACAGCTCCAGTGCTGAAAACCTACAGCTCTTGTAATTAAACACAGCCCTGCTAAAAGTTGTCTGCTGCTGACGAACCCACTAGATTTGCCAGGGGTCCAATGTTCTTCGAGCCTCTTCGTGGAACTTGTTTTCAGCCTGCGAAAGGAGACGTTTCATTGGTCTGTTCAAATGACGTTGGCACTGGGAAATGAGAGGAGCCAATGCACAGAATATGGATGAAAAAAATGCTTTAATTAGAGATTAACATTTATTATGTTGTTAATTTTGTGGTTTTAGATAACAGGGTGTACAAGCCAATTAATTTAATTATCGTGGTCGGTTAATGTACACCCAATAGTGCCCATCAATTTGTCTTAAATAGGTAAAATGTAAACAGTATAACAATTAAAACAAAATTCATGACTAAAACAAAAAAAAAGTTAGTAAAAGTTAACACTCAAAAAAAAATCAAAACATTGTTTTGGTAAACAGATATTTTAAAATATTAAGGGTGTGGCATGTATACGTACGGCATAGTATGGCATATATATATATATATATATATATATATATATATATATATATATATGAAGAGTTCAGATGCAAAAGCCTCTAAGTGCCATTTGAAATTTTCTTCTAGAATGATCATTTTTATCAAGCTTATATATTCAAGTTCAGTAATTTCACTTAAATGACAATTAATAGGTAATCTTCATTGCAATTTAAGTGAAATTACTGAACTTAAATATACAAGCTTGATAAAAATGATCATTCTAGAAGAAAATTTCAAATGGTACTTAGAGGCTTTTGCATCTGAACTCTTCATATATATATATATATATATATATATATATATAACACTGATTTTAATGCACCAAAGTTCTCAGAATTCTTTGACTGACCAGTCAGGGTGACGATATTTATATTTATATTTAATATTTATATATAAACAATATGAATGTAAGCCAGAGGAGAACTGGCCCCCGACTGAGCCTGGGTTCTCCCAAGGTTTTTTCTCCATCCAATCTGATGGAGTTTTGGCTCCTTGCCACTGTCGCCTTGCTTTTGGCTTGCTTAGTTGGGGTTATTTAATATTTAATATTTAACAATATTATTGATCTGTGTTGTACTACTTTCATGTTATCACTGTGAAGCTTTGATACAATCTGTATAAAAGCGCTATATAAATAAATGTGACTTGACTTGACTTGACCGTGATTTTGCCAAGACATGGTCCTGGATCAACGTATCCTGTCCCAAAATATAGTCCTTACCCAATCCCTACCCCAAAACCTAACCCTACCCATAACTTTTCCCTAAACTTAGGGTAATGATTGGTGAATAACACTGATGTTTAATTACTTCACCCTGGTTCTAAGCCTAAACTTGACATAAAGTGTAAACTTGTCCCTCAGATCTGATTGGTTGGAAACTTGATCCAGGATCAACAAAGATGTTGATCCAGGAACATGTGGTACTTGGTGAAATCACGTTCACCGACCAATCAGAATCCAGTTGTCACAAATAAGTTCTGTCTCGTCTGCACCTGTTCTCATTAGTCCTTACTTCATCTTCGTCTAGAGACCCGAGTTCTCTCATGTGTATTTATACACTCAGTTTTGTTCAGACCCTTGTCGGTTCTCGTTGATGTTTGATGTGGTTGTTTCTGTTCTGCTTGAATTTAGAAAGTCTGCATTTCACCCTAATCTTCATTGTGTGCTTTCAGCAACCACCAGAACGTTACAGAATATCAGAGAGCTCAAAATTCATTATATTGTATTAAAATGAAAGTTTATTTTACAAAACATTTACAAAATTAATTGTCTGATGTTTACACTTTTGTTTATGGGCCAGTGGGGCACAGTAAATGTTTATGATGACACTAAAAAAATAATCAAGATTTTATATACGAATGTGCATAATTATGAATAATGCAAGGGTGTGATTCATGAGCTGTAACTACATTTTAATTTTAATTGGCTTTTATGTTTTTGCAGTTTAATAGTCCTCCGGTGTGACAATTTAATTTTGATAAATAATCCATGTCTTTTTTTTTTTTAATAATATGAGGTCATTCAATCTTTACATAATTATCTTGAACAAAATTAGGTTGAGGGATTATCACACAAAATATATTATCCTAATACATTTGTTCTTGTATGACCACCAAAAGTTTGTGAGTTACTTATGAATCGATAACTGTTTCCATACACCTTCATGAAGATCTCAAATACCCATGGGCATCTCATTTTAATCCTGCGTAGGCAGTTATTTCCAACACTTCCCAGTATGTGGTCCCAGTGCATACTGGGTCAAATGGAAACGCATACATAATTAATACAGAGGTTAATGCACATTGAGCAATGGAGGCCCTAGGGACCGCTAAACCTTACTGTCAAAAAGGAAATCAAAGAGAAGATTGCACACTCATATATTAGTCCCTGTAACAAGCTAATGTTCAAATGAATATTCCTTTTTGATATGTTGAGGCTAATGATGCTAATGATGCTTTGTGTGGTGGCATTTCAGCAGAAATCACATGGCGTCTGAGGTTAATTGCTGGGTGTTTTTAATTGAAGGAATATTCTCTGTTCAAAACAAGGTAAAGGAGTAGGTAGAATTCCCCCAAAAATACTTTTTTTCCAAATTTGTTTAAACTGTCTTTATATATCAATGCATATTTAGAATGTAAGTACTCTGGAAAATAAATTATAAAAATCGAGTGTCTGTAGTCCTCTCAGGGACTGTAATAAACACAGGTCATTATTCCATTTGGGACGAAAGAAATGATTGGCTGCGGTGACTGTCACTCTCCCTCGCTACTACCATGGATACCACCTGTGCTGCAGGAGCAGCCCAAATGCGCGCACCCGTTTGAAGAGGCATGGAAGCTACTAATAACAATAGCAAAGAAAGAACAGTCAAAATTCTCAGTACCTGCATATAAGATAGTATCTGACGTGTGTATTCAACCCCATCACACTAAATGTGTCTTTATAGACCTTATGCACCAGATAAACGTGGGCGCCGTCATCTTTAGAATATTGTCTTTGAACTTCCGTTTTTGCGGTCGCTCTGTATGTTTCTAAGGCATCGCTGTCGAGGAGTAATTAGCTGGTGAAGTGGATTTACTTACTGTAGAGTTAAGTTATCAAGAGCATTGTAATGTAAAAAATTATAATATAATATTTTCAAGATTTGTTATCACAACATTCTTTATTTTGTCAAATCAACTTAAATAATTTATTTAACTTTAGTTAACATATAACTTATTATTTTGAGTTTCTGATGATTAAATCAATCTCCTTCATTGTACTAACTCACTTTCTCCAGTTCAATCAACTTAAAGTCCCTGTGAAATCAAAATTGAACCTATTTACTTTGTTAGCGCATATTACTAGTCTTGTGGTGAACAATTAATCCGTGCAAGTAAAAATATATTTAAAAAATGTTTTACCTTGGTAATCTTTAATCAAAATCTAAAAAGTTACTTCCGGTCTGGAACGGTTTATTTTTCTGATGACGTAGGTTTCACAACTTGGGTGGGGAAACGCTTAACCACTCCCCTCAAACCGTTAGTTTGCTATGAGCGAGAGATGGAGAGGAGGAGCGCTAGAGTAAAACCCTGCCCTCTGTTCAATATTCCGTTTCACTTGGAAATACGTCACAGCACTGGAGAAAAATCGTTTGCAACTTCCGGTTCACGGGGACTTTAAAATTTTAAGGCAACCAGGTTACTTATATTTTTTTAAGCTAAACCAACAATATTTTTTACAGTGCAGATGTCTTAACAAATGTCGACCAGGAATTTTTTTACGAGCAGTTCATTCATACCTATGCAAGAATGCTGCGAAAATACAGACCGGAAGTCAAAAGACAACGAGGGCAGCGCTGAAAAGGGGTGGGGCTACATAAGGTCTATAACACGCATGTGAATTGTCGTGTAATTTATACGCTAAAGTGAGTTTTTATGTGCATAGGATACGCATGGATTGGTTAGGGTAGGTTTAGTAGTGGTGTGGGGTGTGTGTGTTTTATACGTTTGGGTAGAATTAGTGGTGTGGGGTGCGTGTGTATTAAGGCCAATTTATACTTCTGTGTAGGGTGCGTGCAGTAGGTACGGCATAGCATACGCAGAGACGCGTCCCATACTGCGTACCCTTCGCTGTAGCCTGACGCGCACCTCCTCAAAAATGTAACTACACGTCGCGACGACGCGGACCGCAAGATCGGTGAATGGTCGGCTTGGTAGCATCGCATTTCCTCCTACACATTTCCGCACGTACCTTCTCACGCATTACCACACATACCATCTCCTCCGACGTCTTCTCTCATTTCTGCCTTTCAGTTTTAGTAATTTCACTAAAATTAACTGTTTTTCCACCTCAAAAAGTTCCAACTCCAACATGATCCGCTCTTTCAGGCTTGTAGTAACCTAGCCACAACTCGAGGAATCTAAACAGTGGAACATTAAAACCCTCCACCGCCAACTAGCGTTTCGGAGCAGTACTGCAGAGCAACCAAGACCTGAACGCAGAAGTATAAATGCTCACTAAACCCGGCGCACCACGGCGTACCCTCGACGCAGAAGTATAAATTGGCCTTCACACACAAATGAACTGCGTATCAAATGTACTCATTTTCGCGTATAAACTACACGACAATACACAATGCGTGTCATAGAGACACATTTTCGTGAGACACGCCATACAGTGCATAATTATATGCACGCGAAAAGTGCGTATCATACACGCAAAAACTATTTTAGCGTATAAATGGAGACCAGATCATAGAGTAACACAGATACATACCTGTTCACATGTCCTTGTTTGAGCTTGAAGATTCAAAACTCGACACAGGTCCTCTTGTCCAAGACTAAGTGCTCCTTGCCCTGTACTTTGACCAGCCCTCGGGCTCTACTACCTCAGACCCTGGCTGTCCGCCCTCTTGCACGACCTCCTCTGCTTCGCCCTCGACCCCGGACCTGTCCTTGAGCCGACAATGCGGTACTTGTCTCCGGAGTGTAGTCCTCATCAGAGCCAACAGCGCTGGAAAGCTCTTTCATGCAAAACACCTGTATATGTTATGAATCATACAAATTCACCTTCATCACAGTGTAACTGATCGTAACGGCAAACATGTATCAATGAAG